TATTAAACAAGAAAGTATTTAACCCCTGAGCAAATTGTGAAGTCATTCACAACAAAATGTGCCTAGGCTCCAGTTCCCTGGGCAGTGTGTCTGTGTGTGCTGAGTTCTTCTCGTGCACTTGCTCCATTTCAGAGAGCTCTGCTCCCTTTACTCCTGGACTGTTGCTACAGCCCACRTGAAATGCCACTAGTAATACCAGGGTAATGAATCCAAGCCTTGGTGTATGCTGCACTCACAAACTAGGCCCATGAACATTAGTCCTCCGGGTGCAAGTGCCATGCTTCTTCCACAGGTAAGGACACTTGCTGCCTGCAGACCCCAAGATTGGGGGAAGGTCAGTTTTAAAGCAGGCGGTGATTTGAGAAGCTCTGAACACAGTTTGAACCACATGCAGCACAGYTATTGCTGGTTGGCAGTGCTAGGAGGAGATGGTTCAAGGTCATCTCCTGATCTTGGGACTTTCTAGTAACTGGTTTGGATTATTTGTAGTCAGACAGGCTGAAAGTATTCATGCTGGCAAAAGCCTAGAATTATCCTGTCTCCTTATGTCTTCAGARCCAAACCAGATGGGTTGCTGAGGGGTCTGATCTATCCAACCCAAACTATTATTCTGAGCACAGATGCAGCCAGGTGAGGTCTGGCAACTGGTGAGGAGTAGAAGTCCAAGCCAGGTTATTTGATATTCCTTTAAGACAAATAYCCTGAACCTTGGTCCCATCAATATGCAGTAGGGAAGTGTGGATGRTTGATGCCAGCAGTGTGCTGTGCAGGTACAGCATCAGCCATGCAAGTTGTAATTGGGTTAGGAGGGACAGGATCCATAGTTCAGTGAGGTGGGGTACAATAGGTTGAGRCTTAAAATGCTGCTTAAACTGTGTGGGTAGGTTTGGAGTGGRAGCAAGAGAAGAAACAAAACTGGTTATTTCCATGGTAAAAATATCTTRAGCAGGCAAAACCTTTCTAGCATTCTCCATTGAAAATAACTCCAGAGGGATAAACAGTACCACCTATGTGCCCCAGCAATTTCTTTTTCCCTTGGCTGGTTATTCCAATATACACCATAAAGCCACTGGTTTACACTGTTTCTTCCCTGTCTCAAGCCTGTCCAAAACGTGTTCCCCAAACATTCCTTTGCTCCTCCTCTTTTGCAAACATCTCSTCATTTCTTGTGAGCAATTGTATCACCCTATTGCAGAAGCAATATTGTGATCTTCACTCCTCACTGTCACCTCCTCTGTCTCTGCTACAAGATGCTGGTGGCATTTTCAGCATTAGCAGCACACACACACTTGTGGCTGTGTCTGCTAACAGAAGCTCTTTCTCTGTCATGCCTTTCCTTGTAAAAGCAGAGGAAGCTGTCCCTTGCAGRTTAATTATACAGGCTGTTGCAAAAAAGTGCCCAGAATGGTAATGCACTTAACCATGGCTGTGAGTGATTTTGGTCTGCAGAGGCCAGTGCAGGTTGGAGACATTGGCCAGTTCAGCAGTCACAGCCAAAGTTCCAAAGCTGAATTCCAGTTCTTTACTATTATCTTTTTTCCTTCTTTTCTCTTTTTTTTTTTTTCTTTTTCTTTTCCTGTGGTAGAAGGAGATGAAGAAGGATGGTGAGGCTGAGATGCTCAAACTTCTATGTGGTTTTACACCTCTTCCACTGGCCAAGCACAGCACAGATGCTGGACCCTCCTGTTTGAAACCAARTGCACATTCACCCAAGGAATTTCGTGGTGGACATGCAGGCAGGACAAGGGAGGGCACCCTGCATCCCACAGCCTGGCCCCATGCGGCATTTAGTGGGGTCTGCTGTCACCAAGACTGGCCCACATGCAGGAAGATATTGCTGCTCCCAACTATGGCATTGCTGGCTGAGCTGACCACTGACCTCTGAGGATGTGTATGAAGCTGAGAGCAAGAAAASAGCTCCCAGGGAGCAGCCTTCAGCTGGCTAATTCGGCTGGGTGTTCCCTGGACAGGGAGGTGCCGAGCCTGCTCAGAGCTGCCGTGCCACCTGCATCCCAGCTGTGTCACAGGTCATCTTGCTGAGCCTGCAGGCTGCAGGGTGCTCTCATATTGCCCTCTTGTGGTCCTAGAAAATGTGAGACSGTCTCAATTCCACGTATTTTCCAGGGCGGAGTCAGAGGAGGGAGATTCCTTCCCTAAAACAGGGACGACCAGCCCAGGAGGCCACATCACTCACCCTCACAGGCTGCTGTGGGTTTGGCAGTGCAGCAGAAAAATTAGAGCCTCAGTCACAAGCGTATTCCCCTACAAGAAGGGGATATAACCCTGTGGAGGTCTCTCTCTCTCTCTGGGGTGGGATTTGAGCAGCTCGTTCTCCTCCCAGCTCTGAATATTTTTGTGTTGAACAATTTGGTACTGCTCCACTTGGCCRTGGCTGAGCTCTCCACGTGAAAACATGGTTACAAAATGTTTCTGAGGCAGGACTTTTAAGCACGCCCCTCAAAAGCCTGCCATGAACTTCGCCCCCAATGTTGCAAGAAGTGTGGGCTAAAGAGTGCACAACCTTTGGATGTAACATCTGCAGCACAGGGATTTCTTATGCTTTTGAGGTTTCAGTCAAGGCAAAAATAGTTGACAGGTTTGTGTCAGAAGASACAGCAACCAGTCAATCCTCCCCATCTTCTCTGGGACACTCATGATTTTGTAGACCTCTTCCCCACTGTCTCTCCTTCTTCCAAGTTGAACAGTCCCAGCCTACAGTTTTTCACTGTACAGGCAGTTCCTGTATCTCTGAGCATTCTTACTGCCTGCCTCCAAATCTTCTTCCGTTCTCTATTACCCTTTCTGAGATGAGAGGACCAGAACTGTATGCAGACACTGGAAAAACATTTTTAAAAAGCAAAGCCAGGCCCAGTAAAATGAACGAAAATTCTTATAAGCAGAACTATGAGGATCTTGGGAGAACCAGGAAGGTGGATAGAACTGCATTCAATGCCTTCTATATTTGGCATGGAGGACRCAGAAAAGGGAAATCACAGATAAGTAAACTCAAARAAGAGTGAGGCAGCTTTGWTGGTGATGTCTGCAGAGAGCTGGTMATGGCAGTGACCTGAAAAWCTGCAGAAGGGATTATGATGATTAAAAACACTCAAAACCTTCTTTGGCAGGTAAGAACAACAGAAATTTTGGGTCAGAGGATGTCAAGAGCCCTGTGGCAGGGTCTGGTGCCCATTCTGCACCTGCAGAGAATAGAGCCCCGTGTTCCCTGTGCCGTTTCAGGCCCCTGCCCAYGGCATGGTGCCATGGCAGCAGTGTGGGTCCCCACCTGGGGAGAACAGACGGGGATCAGCACCCAGCCTGTGCACGTACCAACACGAGTCTGAGAGCAGGCATGCAACGCATTCCGCACWCCCGCTCCTGGATGGTGGCAAGTCAAGCTGGGATCTGTGTGGTTGCTATGGAGAAGTGTAGCTAAATGCACAAACAAGTGCCAAACAGTGGTAACTGTTCAGGGGGACTTACAGACTCCGGGCTTTAACAACGTGTTGCTGAGGGATGGTATCCCTTGGGGCATGGAAGCTTTTTTTAGCCTGCCAGGAAATGCAGAGTGGGACCTACTGTACTTAGTACGCCAGATCCTCAGTGATGCACAAACTGGCCCTCTCTGTCATGGATTTCTGCTGGGGAGCTATTTGTTTTTCCCCATCTTGATGCTCTGGCATGATCTGACAATGTATCTAAGCAGCCAAGAAGGCTGCTCGCGGCAAAGCCGAGACTGTACCAGATGGACAGTGCAGACCCACTCGTCAGATGCTGCCAAAGCTGAAGCCAAGGCAGCGAGATTCCCACCAGGCAGCAGCGGGGAAGGGGAGCCCCGGCAGTGTGTGCGAGGCGGCAGCGCTCCCGGGGAAGCCGAAGAGCGTTTGCACAGCCAGCTCAGCCGTGCTCCACGCCGGGCTCCCGGGTGCTCTGCCAGCAGCCTGGCCCGGTGCATGGCGCACGAGTGCCGTGTCCAGCCCGGGGGCTCGRGGGTGGCCGCAGCCCTGTTCACAGCGGCACCCAGCTGGGCACGGTGTCCCGCGGCGGGCTGTCCCCAYGGGCCGCCAGGGGGAATGGCCTGGCAGCCTGGGGAGCGGAGCTGCACAGAGCCATGTCCCCACGTCACCCGGGGGCCCCGGGCTCCCCAGGCTGCGGGCCAGCCCCGCGGAGCGGCTCCGCCTTCCCAGCGGCACCACGCCGGGCCGGGCCGGGCCGGGCGGAGGC